GGGCTGCTGTGGGGAAAATTAACTCCATCCCACCCAGACCCAATATAACATGGCAGTATCACAACCTCCTGAGGAAGGAATAATTTGGATATGCAAATGGCAATATTGAACTTTTTGAAATGAGAGATATTGGCCTCAAATTACATTTGAATATAAATTTGTTTGCCTTGCTTTGTTTATGTTAAATAAGTTAATAATTTTCTGTGCTTTTTCATGTGTTCTTGACTAAAAATGCAAAGATTACATTGACTTGAGAGAGATTCTTAGCTAGCATAAATTTACAGAGCTGCTTTGATTGCATTGGAATTGCGCTAGATTGAGCCTATTACCTGCATATCATCAGAGAGCAGTGTGTACTTTTGGGTATTCCTCAGATATAGACATTTAGCATAGCCACATGTTTAAGCATCCAAGCAGAACTACTGTTCAGAAAAATACAATATATCACAAAAGACTCAGTTTGAGACAGAACATTATGCCACTTTTGAATAGCAAAGCGTACCTTAGCTGACACAATGGCACCAACAAGCTGCTGCTCTCTTTTTTAGGTTTGCTGGCTTTATTAATAATAAAGATGCAGTTTTCTAAAAATAATATTATAAAGTATTAGTCATACTGTTGAATTCATAGCTATTCCTTATTTTATGTCATCTTCAATCATCTATACACATGCATGCATCCACACACATACCTGGTACTAATTCTAAGACACCAGACCTGTGATCAAGTTACTATTTGCTAATACGTTACATTTCCTCTTTTGCACTCTAGTAACTGCATGCTTCACTCATTGCAAATGCAAAGTAACTCGTGGGTTTTGATTTCATTCACTGAACTTTTTTCTTTTTTTCACTTTGCATCTGCGATACTCTAAAAGCATTATCCCAAGCATCAGTACTAAGTATTGCTCAAATGTCTTGATCACACGTCTCAGCCCTGATAGCTGGTGATTTGTTTCCAAGATGATGAATTGGCTGAAGATTGTATAGGCTGATGTATTGGTTAAAGCATCAGGATTTCTAAGTCATTGTCCTGTTCTTCTGTGTCACTATGGCTCTACCTAAGCTGTAAGGCAGGTCTGCCTTGTCGTCCACCCCAAATCTCTGGTTCTTCTGTCCAGATTATAAGGTAATGGGGTGAAGGACACTGCTATTTCTTCTCATCCACATGCTGAGTTTCCTTTTAGAGGAGAACGATGCAGGAGAAGATGATGTACACTATCCAGTGTACAGTGAGATGTGAGATGTTGGAAGGATGTTCCTCAGTCGGTGTCAGCTGGGACTTGTCGCCATGTCCTGCAGTATAATGGGACGTGTTGTGCAGGGTGAGCTTATCACCTGCCAGCATTTCTGAACTCTGTGATGGGAGGAGAACAGTAATTGTTCATTTATTAGGGTGGGAAAAGTACTCCAATAGCAAAAGTAACAAATATTGTAGAAAAGCAAGCTGTATAACATGTAGTTATCTCCAAGCTGAAATACTGGGTCAAGCAATGTTTTGGAGTTTCACAGAAGAGTTCATTTATATGGCCTCAGGAACAGATGTGCCAGGATGCAGAGAGAGATGTTTTAACTCAGAAAGTCAAAGAGAAGTATGAAATCTGGGAACGGAATCACATAACCTTGCTTGTGAGCTGACGGTTTTATTGTAAGTAACTTTTCTATTAGATCCAGTTTTCCTCTTCACTTTCATGGCTGTTCTTAAAGAATCATCACAGTTATAAATATATCCTGCCCTTAGCAGGACCATGATGTTTCCCTGGAAATTTGAGAGAAACCATTTGAGAGGTGTGCTATGACTTTTGAAGCTTGTTAGTGTTTTTGACTATTTTGTGAGAAATGAGCGCTATATTTCCCAGCTGGCTTTGGACAGTTGTCCAGATGGCTGTGTCTAGAAGAGCTACGGCGCATACTGAAGATGGGAAAAAAGAAAGGGTCATTTTTTATCATTGTCCCCTTGTGATTTTATATCATAACCAGCAGTGCAGCCTAACATCATTTCTTTGGGTTTATTTTTCTCTGTGAGTTATTTTCTTTAGATAATGCCTTTACACCATAACAGACTATGACGATTTAATACAGTTAGACAACTAAAACTGGGATATATTCTCTTGTGTAAAGCCAAGTTTCTCTCAGTTGCCTCTGTATCTTGAAAGTAAAGTTCTACATCCTGCTAAATATTACAATTATTATGTCTCTATGGCATGAAGTACTGAATACAGGAGGGAGGGACACAGCAAGGTTTTCATAAAAACCATGAAATTAATTTCTTTGAGACTGGAGTGGTAAATCTGTGGGTAGTCTTAGACATAACTGGAATATATTTCTTTTATTTTTTTTTTCCAGTTTTGATGATTGGTCTTAAACAGAATTCCTTGAAATTCAGTTTTATAATCTGAAAGGACCAGCTTCACATCCATATTAATATGTGATAATAATTAAATAAATATTAACATCAAGTAGTTGAGATCTGATTTTATGTATAGTCAAACAGTAGTGTTGTGTAGTGTTATCTGTCTGTGACTTCAGGAATGTGTGTGGAAGTGAGCAGCCAGGAGACTGCAATGGGGCCACCATAAGTGTCGGGTAGGCGAATTCCTCAGAGAACAGGAATGGAAACTAGAGGCCCCACAATGGCACAAACAAATGAACAATTATTTCTACAGAGTACTGTAACAACCTAATGAAACTGCCCAGAACTGGCAGTTGTATGTAGAGCTGCCTTTAAAGCAAAAACAACTAGTTGTGCTGGCACAATACCAGGATCAGGTATGCAGAACTGATGGTGATGATCTGGTTACCTGCCCTTTAGGACCCGCTCTTAAGTCTGGGTGCTAAATCTGTCGAGATCTGCTACGTTTAAAATACATGCAGTTCTGTCGTAGAGACTTGCCACATGGCCGTACACCTCTTTTAGAAGTAAGTGTAGGTCTGAAGGCACTCTGACCATTATTGCAGTCCAAAAGGCTCTACATTGAAAAAAAGGAAAACAAAAAAACCCAACCAACCTTTAGTGATAACAGTAGTTTTGTGAGGAGCAGCAGCAGCAGCAGTAGTAGTAATAGTAGTAATAGTTTTAGTTTTACCAATGAAAAATAAGTACTATTCATTCTGACAGTGATATTCAGTTTCAGACATTAACTCCTGGTCTTCAAAAGGAATGTGAATTCATCTGCCTGAAGAAGATGATGAGGACAGAGACCTTCTATAATTTACAGCTAGACATTTCTTGTTTAAGAAGAAAGTAGGTGGAGTTCATAGTGGCACTTTAGGAAGGAAGGAAGTGGAAGATGACATAAAAATGAACCTTACCATGGTTGTGCTTGATAAATATCCATAGTGAACATGCACGTGATGAACAGGGATATTTTAAATTTGAATTTTTTACTTTATCAATTTATTGGGGCTGAACTTCTTTCATAATTAGGAATAACTTCTCTGTATCTTTGCATTGTCTCTAGACATGGGGGGATCTTGTGTGAATGACACCAATTTGTCATCTGTGCTGTCATGTCTGTTTAAACTCATGCAGTGAGTAGATGTCTCCCATATGGTATAGCTGTTTTAAATACTTACAATTGCTTGATGCAGGCAATACCAGTTCTTTTGGGTTTTCAGCCTTTTGCCAGCACCAGGTTCTTCTGTGTAGCTGTAGTGATCCACTGTGGTTTCTGTGACCTCCCCTTGGATGTCGCTTCTGTGGTCTAATAGATCTTGTAACAAGTCTTAAATATTGGAAGCAGAGTGGACTTTCCTTTGTTCATTTCATCCCATTGCTTCAAGTAATATTTCGCCCCTTCTCACCAAAATAGATAATGTGATTCCCCCAAGGAAAACTCAACAGTGTATGAGGAGCTGTGGCTGTAGAAGCGTTCTGTGACTAGAGGTGTTATGTAGATGTAAGATGTTGCTGATGTTTAGGGTTTTTTTTAAGAATTTAGAGTCATCATGGATTTGTGTTTAGATGTTTGGCTGGTCTGATTAAATAAATAAGCATAATAGGTAATCCAAAGAGTATTTATTTTCTTTTCTTCCTTGGTAATCTCAGAGATGAGGAATTCTTGAGAATGAGTTGTCCACTGGCATTGTCTCCAAAAACAGCTTTACATCTAGGAAAAGTTGGTCCCTTTATGCTCATCAGAATCTATCAAAAAAAAAAAAGCACATGATGCATTTTCCTATCCAAAAAAATGTTTTGTATGAGGGAAAACTCAAATCTGCCCTTTAAATCTCTAGTGAGAACAAAATAAAAAACTAAGCTGTGTTCATAGAAGATATGCATTGCTTTTCTTGAGGGAACTTTGGAAGTGTTTCATTTTCTTTCCTTGGAATAAATCTCACAAGAGGTTAATCATTTGTGAAAGTACATTGCTTTAAAAAAAAAGCTATCTTGATCATCCTCATGTAAAAGGGTACTTTATTTTAAAGACTCAATTTGAGCATGGAACAAATTGATGAAATTGTAGTACAAAACCTTTAATGCATTAGAATGATTACATTTGGAAATCATTATGTATACAAGTAGTTATTACAGAAATAACCTTCTTTGTCAAGTATTCTTGGCGTGGAAGTAATCAGCATCCTATCCCATTAATTGTTTGAGAACTCTGAAATCTTTAATGAGGTTTTTTACGGAAGGGTTTCAGTCAAATGCAAATGATTCACTGAAGCACTTAATCATAAGACAAATAGTTATTCTTTAAGTAAGGTTTTTTTATTCACTGTAATAAATGTAGCCTGTTAACTGTAGATACACAGCTGACTTTTTCAGTTACTTTTCTCACAGCATTTTTCTTTACGGGTTCATTGTTAGTCAGAAAGTCATAATGGCTGCACTGAGAAAGAAAATGCTTGACAGATGTCAAGAAATCTGTGTCTGATATCACTTCAAATAGATTTTTTCCCTCTGAGTGTTTGAAAAATGAATTTATTTCTTCTGGTCGATAGAGACATATATTTTTCAACGGGTATTGACAATCAAATATCATCCTTTTTTCACAGGTCTGATTACAACAACGTCAAGAAAATTGGATCGGGAACAGCAAGCAGAGCACTTTTTGGAGGTAAGATTAAGTGGAAAATATATGTTAAAAGGTTAACTGATTTTTGCAGTTTAAAATCACTTTTTCCTGTTCCAGGAGAGTGGTATTCTCCCTTCTCTCAACGTATGGCAGACTCACACAAAACTAGGAATTGCCTGATTATACAGAAGAAATAATACGTTTTGCAATTCCCAAGCACCGGAAAAAAAATGAACAAATATGCACAACACTTCTTTTCCACCTCTAATCTGCTTCTGTTAAATCTTCTATTGTAGCCCATAATTTTATTTGTTACAGAAGTTTAGAATATCCAGAGCAAAGTTTGGTTTTGGTTTGGTTTTTTTTTTTTAAATTGGAACCACCCCAACCCTGCCAAGAATTTCAGTCTCTCAGGTTAAACATGTTTTAAGTTTTGCATTTCAGATCTATAATACAAACTTTTCTTTTGGATGAAAGCAAGCTTTGACCTTGCTCGCATTCACTGCATCATCTGAATCAATGAATAATTTTTTAGCTTTCACTTATTGGGACTATCAACAGCAATTTTCAAGTTAAAAACTGCCCTCTAAAAAGAGTGTCTAAACCATTCCCTTGGCCCTTAGATGAATGTTTCTCTTTGTAAGTAGCTCATATATGTTGGATATGGAATGATATACTTGTAAACTACTGGTTTTACCACATGTGTTTTCTTTCACATTGCTATACACCGTGCTGTGCTTTTTTTCCTTTGGGTAGAAGATCTTTGACTCTCTTCTCTTGTCTATTTGTGAAATAAGGAATGTTTGATTTGTGTTGGTACAAGTAAAAAAGAACCATATTGTCCCACATAATCAATCATTCCTACTATGTATTTTGGGAAATACTCTTCAAACCCATGCAAGTTAAAAACATCTGGACAAAATAGTTCCCAATGCAGTCACTATCTGGCAGCACCATGTAGTAAAATATACTTTTGTATATTCCATGGTTCCTTTTGTTTGTTAGAAATCCCAAATCATTTTAGTTAGTGCAGAACATGGGAGAGAAGAGTTAATTTATTAGTGTACAAGTTTGTTTTGGGGTTTTTTGTTGATAATTCACTGTAGAATCTTACACATTCTAGGCCATAAATAAATGGAGGGAAATAAAAGGATTTTCCCCTTTTTAGGATTTATTAAGTTGGAAAGTTAGTAAAATAATCATGTGTTCCAATAACCGCAAGCTTTCCAATTTATACTGCCAGAGAAGAGTGCAAACTGAATGAAATTGGCATTGATTTTGAAATATATCTATTGATGAGAATCTTAGGTCTGTAAGTCTCTTTTGCATTTATGTGTTTGCCTCAGAGACCTCAGTGAAACATGTCAACTTCACATGTACCAGAGGATTCCCATACAGATGGGGAAGAGTTACTATTAATAGCAAAAATAAAAAGTAATTGCTTATAGAAATTAGTCTTTAGTCATCAATACAAGTTAATATATTCCATCCAATGGATTTTATCTTGTTTGAAAAAATAACCATCTGCAAGATTTTGAGGAGTGAAGGTGCACTAGAGGGAAGTTGGTGCTCCAAGGCTTGTGAATGGGGAGCGGAGGGCAGGCTGCAGAGAAGAGAAATGCCTGAGCAGGGTGTCCTGGAGAAGCGAGGAGAGGACCACGCTTGTGAAACCCACCTGGAAATAGTGTATGGGAAAGGGAATAGGGCTCTGGTGGGGACATGGTCCCGATGGCCAAATTGACGCTCTGAGCTGCTGATGAAACATTGACCATCGCTGCCTCCTGGGAGGTGTGTTCCTGGGGATCAGAGCAAATAAGCTGCTGGGGATGCAGAGCCAGGCTGGCCAAGCTGTGCTCATTCTGGTCGCACGCTCAGAAGACATTTTCTAAAACGCCTGGCTCGCTCTGTGTGTAATTAACCCCCTGGGGAGGCCTTAATTGATGAGACAACCATGGTCTCCCAGTAGTACAGTATTTCCCTTCCGGCTTCATTTCATATCCTTCTTCCAGTAGTCTGTCTGGTATAAAAGAGAGCAAACTTGGCTCCCTTTGAAAAGCTCTGAGTAGTGCTTCACCTGGCAACCCTTCCTTTGCCCAGTGCGTGTGCGAGGCACTGATGGACCTTTCTAGATACAACTTTTTAATTGTTTTTAATAAGCCTGTCTTTTCCTACCTGAATTTGACAGGGACACTATACCCGTACCAGCCAGTATGTACTGAGCAAATTCCATTACTATCAGTATTTCCTCCTCTTTCGCAAAAGTTGTTAGGAAAAAGAGGTGAAATAAGATGGCAGATGTTAGTCATTGTAATTGTGTGTAGTGTCAGTGCTCGTCTCCAGACCACCGCCTGTGATGGCTTAGGGTGGCTCTTCTGGATTCGCCTGTGCCTGTCTCTATCGGAGGAAACGTGAATTACTGGATGTGTATTTTAAAGGCTGCCATACTTAGGAAGGGTGAATCTAAGTGACTCCCCCTCTAAATACACCAGAAGTCTGTTGCAAAGTACTGAGCCCAGGTTAACCGTGCATCTTTTCTTCCATCCTCCTTTAATTATTCTTTGGCTGTATGGACCTGTGTCCCTGTGATTTTTTTAACAGTACTCGAGGCTGCTGTCACAGGACTTGCACTTGCCAAAGAGTATGTGCCAAAATGAGCACAAAAACGTGTCTAGACCCTGAGTTAAAAGATGCATGAGTAAGTCAGAAATAGACTCCCTTTTGTAATAATTGAGATTTTTTGTTTGGTTTGGTGATGTTGTTTGAGGAGGTTTCTTTTTTGTTTGTGGCTTTTTGGGAGAAGAAGAAAAAAAGTATTTCTCATTGATTGTGGCATTGTCAATGCTATTTTTTTTTTTTTCAGCTTTCAGTTTGAGGGCTATTTTTTTGACACCTTTGTAATGTCTTGCAAGGCTGCAGGTTTTAGTCAGTGCTTCTTATCAGGCAGAATTTTTCTGATTACATTTAAATTGGATGTCACTGGATTATATTCAGGATGGTCTCTTGCTTTAGTGGATTCTTACTAATGGAATGGTTCTGCCTGAAACAGGAGGAAAATGACCACTTGATTACATTACTTTCTCACAGGAAGCAAGCCAAAAGCATTTGTTTTATTTCACAGACTTTCTTAAAGATTCTGTAGTTGTGATGAAGCATTTAAATATCTGTCTGAAACAAGAAAGGTAATTTTGAGTAAGTAAATGAAAATAGCAATGTATTTCCACTTGAGGTGCAATTGCAGGTTTCAGGTGATCTGTCTTTATTCTCCTTCAATAATTGGACACTTCAGCACTATGGTTATACATGTCCTCTTCTTTCCTTCTTTTATTTCTTTCTTCTCCTGGGTACGTGTTGTCTTCTAGCAATTTCTATGTTAACACTTATGCTCAAAAAGAAGAAACTGGAAGTGGAGAATGTTAGTGGAGTTTGAGCTATGGAAAAACACAGAAAATTGGCTGGCTGGTTTTTCTGCCCACATTTTTTTTAGTGCCTCCTAATCCTGGTCTGACAGCTTTACAAACTCTAGTGGTTTTGCTGTGTGATTTTAAGCAAACGGCTGCTGGAGTGATGGAGGTCCGATAATAAGAATAAAAAGTAAACCATTTCCTGCAGGATCTGCATCCTCGTGTTGTGTCAGCTGATTTTGAGATGTCCAGAACATGAATAATTCCAAGTCTGCTTTCCAGTGTGCATGTGCAGCTTGATGGGAGAGGATTGTTGAATCCAGGCTACATCTCATTGACTTGCACGTTCAGCCTGGAAAGTGGATCTGAGCGCGTGCTTTCTCACCCAGAGCGGTTTCTGAACGTGCTGTTGCAGATGCTGGGTTACTTATGCCTCCAACACGGAGAGCCTCTGCAAACTGCACCCACTTCTGGGGAGTTCAGTTTGTGGGGAATTGCTGAGGCGAGCTCTGTATTTAGCAAAAGAAAGAGCTTAAATAGATACAGGCTTCAGTGTGCAATTTTAGCAACAGTCTTTGAAATTTTATGATTGGAGGGGTAAATTATCTGTAGCAAGAGATGACCTCTTCATCCTCTTGATAACTGTGTATAATAAGTTGGTGCTTTTAAAGTGCTGAGGCTATTTAGTCTCTCCTTGATGAGTATATGTGGTGCAGGCTCTTAAGTCATTTAGCAAGTTTTGAAAATTGTATCGATAGTACTGTCTGTTCCTCCAAAAAATGTTTAAATTTACCACTGTCGATGTATTCAGAAATTATCTTTTAACATTTGTCATAGTGGAAAACTTGTCTATTCAAAGCCTCTCTAAAGAGTAAAAATAGTTGCTAATAAGCATGGTCAGAACTTTAAATCTCCTCAGGAGTGACAAAGCAACTGAAGACAGTAAGTTTAAGAATACTGTTACAGCATCCTTGGCCTTTCAAGGTCCGAGTCATGTACCATAATTAATGAGGAGGAGAAGTGGGAGCAGAGTGTTGGCTTAGTGCAGCTAATTTTTAGCCAACTTAGTGCTATCAGAATAGTAACAGTGCCTCTGAAGTCCCTTGATTTTGTCACAAATCAGTATACATGAGCCTCATCAATCTTCCTGCTGTGATGCTTGAGCGTAGCTCTGAGAAGGATGTCACTAACAGTGCATGGGGTTGTAATGAAGATAAGTTGGTAAATCTGATGTGAGTGTCAAAATACATGGGCTGAATGAAGCATATTGGTTTCTATTTACTGTAAGTACACTAACAGGGTACAATAAACTGTGTTACATGGTGTGTATTTATATGCAGTAATTAGAGGGAAGCATACTAATCTGCTGTAATTGTAGCCTTCTAGAAAGAATTCAAATTTCCACTCGTTTAATGGGAAGTTGCAATTGTGAGGGGAATTTTGATGGAGGGACTATCATTTTTTCAGCTTGGAATTTGGTCTGGACTATGACAGGGGAAATTGCTGCTGGAAACTTTATGGCCTCTGTTTGCAGGGGAGCGGGGGTTAAAATCTTGAAAAGCAGCATTTTAAAATAGCACTGCCTCTCAGTTCTTCCCACAAACACCACACTGGTGGTTCAGCGTTGGACTGGTGCTGCGT